TCCTGGGAAAAGTAAGGAATGAGCTAGGAAGAGGACAAGTCAATGAAGAGAACAGAGACCCTTGATGAACTGAGCCTGAATCTGCGCTCAGCAGTCAGGAGACTCAGAACTATTGGTACCAATCATCTTTTAATTTCTCTAGAGGTTTACTTAATTTAAGTCCATGAAGATGCCAGCAGGATTCCAAAACATATGTGGAATCTAAAAGAGCCAAGATGTTTCAAAAGGACATTAGTGGGGTACTGCCACCTGCTTTTCAAGTAGAATGTATTTACTAGGCAGCTGTGGTACTCGATACCCTGTGCCATCTGTGAAGGTCAATCAAATGTAATAGAATGTCCATAGCAGATTCCACAAATATGGTTTCACAAATGTGATTTAAAAGTCCAGTTTCCTCTGCCACTAAAGGCAATCTCTTAATTGTAACAAACAGAGATCTTGGGGCATTGAAAACACATGTGGCAGACGAGAATGTAAGTGTCTGGCTTTGTTGACTTTGAAAATGTTTGCTCTTCCAAAGGCACTGATTGATGAGAGGGGGGGGTGGAGAGAGAGAGATGTGTGTGAGTGTGCAGCTCAATAGAGAACACTTGTCTGGCTTATTTGAGATCCAATTTCTCATCCCCAGCCCTAAAGAAAGAGAAAAAAGAAGAAGAGGAGGAGGTGGAGGGGAAAAGAAGGAGTAGGAGATGGTAGTAGTGAAGGAACCGGCTTCCCTTTTGGCAGCCATAATGGTCGAACATGTGCTTCTATGACCTTGACCTAGACACTAGAAAGTCAGATGCCTGTCTCGTGACAGGGAGCCAATCAGAAGTTACCTGGTGGCGCTATGCTTTACGACCCTGGGTGTGCTTTACGGACAAGCGCATGACAATGACGTAGAGAGCATAGCAACCACCCTGGGAGGGCCTATGAGCCATAACAACCAGTTGACCAATCAACACAGGGCAAGTCCTCCAAGCCTGGAAGCACACCAATCATGAGCCTGTGCGTAAGCCTGTGCGTACCCCTAGACACTCCCCTTACGCTGCCCTATAAGATCTTTTGGGAGCCCGTAGGAGCCGTCTTTTCTAGCTGTCCGCCATGGCGGGTGGGTGAAAGACCCGAGCTAACATGGGGTTAGTTCGTTAAATTACAATAAAGCCTCGTGCAGTTTGCAGCAAGCTCTCGAATCCGCCTGGTGATTTGGGTGACCGCGAACCTGGCCTGAGACCCCGGATACTTGAGTTTTCAGGGGTCTAACAGTAGTGGCATGGGGAGCTGAGAGCCTTGAGTGGATATAAAGAAGGCATGAAGTCCTGTGTATTATTGACCAGAAACTCAAGGCCTCAAACCCATGCCTTCCTCCAGTTGAGGGAGGTTAAGAGGCATAGCAAAGCCTTTCCTATACCAGCCAGGCTAAGAACTGGCAAAGCCTTTCTCCGGTCCAACTACCAATGTTTTCAAAAGATTGGCCAGTGTATGTTGTGAAATACTCCTTTACATTGTGTGAAGATGTGTCACTGTGATTAGTTTAATAAAAAGCTAACTGGTCAATAGCTAGGCAGGAGGTATAGCAGGGAATGTTGGACAGAGAGAATTCTGGGAAGAAGAGAGGTGGAGTTGCCTGCCAGACAGACACAGAGAAAGCAGGATGGGCAAAATGGAGACAAGAGAGCGTGGGAAAACATAGATTTAAAAAATATGGGTTAATTTAAGTTATAAGAGCTAATTGGAGACAAACTTAAGCTAAGGCCAAGCTTTCATAATTAATAAGTCTCTTTGTCGATTTTTGTGAGCTGATGGCCCAAAGAAAAAATCCGTCTATAGGGGTATGCAAAAAACAAAACAAACAAACAAAAAACCCAAGCAACTGGAGCTTCCTCCTCCCAGGTGACTGTAACCTGAGACAGCTCCCCTACAGAGACCTCTAATTAGAGACTAGCTAATTCTCTTCTCCTGATGTGTGAAATAAACCTGCTAAGTGAGCATAGCCCACCTGATTCCAGCTTCTCTCTCTCTCTCTCTCTCTCTCTCTCTCTCTCTCTCTCGCTCTCTCTCTCTCTCTCTCTCTCTCTCTCTCGCTCTCTCTCTCTCTCTCTCTCTCTCTCTCTCGCTCTCTCTCTCTCTCTCTCTCTCTCTCTCTCGCTCTCTCTCTCTCTCTCTCTCTCTCTCTCTCGCTCTCTCTCTCTCTCTCTCTCTCTCTCTCTCGCTCTCTCTCTCTCTCTCTCTCTCTCTCTCTCGCTCTCTCTCTCTCTCTCTCTCTCTCTCTCTCGCTCTCTCTCTCTCTCTCTCTCTCTCTCTCTCGCTCTCTCTCTCTCTCTCTCTCTCTCTCTCTCGCTCTCTCTCTCTCTCTCTCTCTCTCTCTCTCGCTCTCTCTCTCTCTCTCTCTCTCTCTCTCTCGCTCTCTCTCTCTCTCTCTCTCTCTCTCTCTCGCTCTCTCTCTCTCTCTCTCTCTCTCTCTCTCGCTCTCTCTCTCTCTGTGTGTGTGTGTGTGTGTGTGTGTGTGTGCGCGCGCGCTCGCGTGTGTGTTACTGACATCCTTTCCTCATTTCTTTGCTGTCCTAGTTTTCAGGACCAAGGCAGGCTGGACCCAGTGAAGAGGGGGATGGGAAGAGGAGGAAGAAGAGGAGAGGACCAGGAGAAAGAGGAGGGGGGGATAATTAAAGCAAACAACAGTAAAGTGTGTTAAAGAAGAGCTGTTGGGGAGTGGCTTAGATCAGTGTTTCTCAGAGTGCTTCTGTGGCCCAGGTGGCTAACTTAATGATACTGATTCACCCAGGGAGTGTGTTGTTCTTCTTTCATCATGTTAAAAGAACAACAAAAATTTGTTTTGGTTTAAAATGCTTGACACACCTCTAAATTTCCCCCTTTAAAACAAAGTCTTGAGCAAGCAATTATTTTCTTCTAAAATGTAATATATTTGTTTTTATTATTCCTCCTGTTTGTTTTTGTATTATCTTTCCAAAGACAATTCACATTAGGCTATTGTGTACCATAATAAAACATCCCTTTTGCATTGGCAAGATGACTCATCAGGAAAAGGTGCTGGCCATTAAGCCTGATGATCTGAGTTCACTCCCCAGGACCATACCATGCAAGGAGAAAATTGACTCCTATAAGTTGTCTTATGACTTCCACATGTGCGCCATAGCAGGAGGTCAGACCTCTACAAAATAGATAGATAGATAGATAGATAGATAGATGAAACTTAAAATGAAACATTGCTTTTAATGGAAAAAAGGAAAAGAAATAGTAACAGACAATCCAATGGCTTAGAGGTAATACTTGCAATTCATTTATCCAATGATGGATTTGTGACAAGAATAGGGCTCCCATATTTTAAGAAGGAAGCAAAAAACTCAAAACATCAGACATAATATTTAAGCAAGTTTACCAGCAGCACACACACTATAGGCAGAGACACAGTAACAGCACACACAGTACAGACAGAGACACTGTGGCAGCACACACAGTACAGACAGAGACACTGTGGCAGCACACACTACTGGTAGAGACACAATAACAGCACACACAGTACAGGCAGAGACACAGTAGCAGTCACTTTTCTTGTTGCTGTGACCAAATACTAAAGAATGAGCAACCTCAACAAGGCCAGGTTACTTTGGCTAAGAGACTGGGGTGATTCAGTCTGTCATTGTGGGGGAAGCCATGGTGACAGCAAGGTGTGCAGCTTGTTCACATCTTAGCCAACCAGGAAGCAAAGCAAAGCTGCCAGAAATCCTAGGCTGGCTCTAACCCTCAAGGCTCCATTTGTGCAGCTACCTCTTCCTAACTGAAGCAATCGCTCCTTGAGAGTCTGCTGAAGATCAAAGATTCTGAAAGACCATGAAACATAAGACTTAGGAGGCCCCTCCTGAGATTATATGAACCATAATGATGGCTAAAGAGGAGACTCTTCTGTGGAACTGCCTACATGTTGTGCAGGGAGCTCCAGGGATGCTGCTTTTCCAAGTCATCACTGGTGCTGGGGTGGGCATGTCCATGCTGCAGCTGACTTTTAAGTTATCCATGGTCCTTTATGTACACCCTCACCGACACTCTTGTCAGTAGCACCCCAATCTTACTGGCTCACTAAGCTGTTCAGACTTTTGATCTGTTGTCTGTGCTGTACTTGGGATGAATAGACATTTGTTCATAACTCCCCTGGAAAAGTCACACAGCGGCTCCCTGTCCCAGAGATCAGCTTCCAATCAAGTCCCATCTCCCAGAAATTCCCTAGCCTCCCAGACAACACCACCACTGGGGACCAATGTTCAAACAATTGAGCATGTGAGGGATATTTCACAACCAACTTCAGCAGACACTCAACACACTGTGAATTGTGGAAATTAAAATAGAAACCACGAGTTCTCACCTCCTGCCACTCAAAATGACTGACAGTGAGGAAACAGGCAGTTCCGAGAGCTGGGCAGGATGTGGAACTGAGGCCTCACCCTGGGCTTGTGGGAACCCACAAGGGCCTGACTCTAAGGGGACAAACTAATAGTTTCCTGTAAAACATAGTAGACATGTACATAGGACCATACTTGGCACTTCATAATGTCAGAAGTGACAAGAAGACTCATGTTGAAACATGCACCTACACATGAATACACAAGCAAAAATACGTGCACACACATGCATGACACACACACGTGCTCCTCCATACACATCCTACAAACACACAAGAGTTCATGCTCACATATGCTCTCACAGACATATAAACACCACACACCAACAAGCTCACGCACACATGTGTACTCATACCACATATATACACTGCACATACATGAACTTATGCACTCACATACATATATACCGAATACATAAACTTATGCAGACACACATGCATACATGTACATATACACCCAAAGGCATGTCCTGATTGTTGACTGGGTTGATTCTAGGCTTCCTGCTCCTGGAGGGTGTTTTGCTCTTGGCCCCGTGTGCTCATTCATGTGCACAGCTCCACAAACCCAGGTGGAGTAACTAACATCTTTAGCCTCTTAAGAATAAATATGCTCGCTTTGACAGCACATATACTAAAAATTGGAACTCTATAGAGAAGTTTACCATGGCCCCTGTGCAAGGATGACCCACAAATTCATGAAGCATTCCACATTTTTTAATTTGACTGTCACAATAAGAATTTAAGAAATAAACATGCACAGCCAGGCTTGGTGGCACATGCCCTTATTCCCAGTACTCAGGAAACAAAGGCAGGAGGATCTCTGTGAGTTTGGGGACAGCCTGGTGTACAAATGGAGTTCCAGAACAGCCAGGGCTGTTACACAGGGAAATCCTGTCGCAACAAACAAATCCCCTTCCCCTGGAAAAACAAAACAAAAAACAAACAAACAAACATGCTTTTATTCATTATTTTTATTATGTTGAGATATCAGAACAATACTCATAACACGCTCAGTAGTTATTGCAAAACACACATCCATGCAAACTCTTTAAAGACAACAATAATTTCCACACCTCTACACTGTCTTCAAAGTGTGTGGTATGAGTTAGTGGGTTAGCCACATGTACATCTTAGCAGCAATGCAGTCTCCCCAAGTGAGCCGAGCCGGGCCACTTCTGACCAGATTATGGCCTTTCCATGCCTGGCAAGATGGTTTTCGGAGTCAATTGCTGAGCAGCTACTTGTTTATTCTTGCTGTAAACTGAACTTCCCTTTTCTAAAATGAGCACCTTGCCATATGCTTATTACAGTTTCAATGAGCCAGGCCCGGTGGCTCAAGCTCTCATCCCAGCTACATAGAAGGCTGATACAGGGGAATCTCAAGTTCAAGGCCAACTTGGGCAGCTTGGTGAGACCCTGTCTGAACATAAAAAGTAAAAGGAGGCCTGGGAGTACCTCAGTGCTAGAGGGCCTGCTTAGCCCCCTGAGTCCTTGAGTTCCATCCCCAGAAATGCCACCCAACCCTGCCAAATACTTGGATGCCCTGGGCTGTGAAGTGCCTGCTTGGGTCACTCACCCTTCTATGATTTAGCTACTTGCCTTTCCTTGTGTTTCTCTGGAGCCTCTTTGCCTTATGGCAGACACCCCTGCACCACCACCCTCCCCTTCATGACCTTCCCTGCTTGCGGGATTTTCTTCTACTTTAGTGAGCTGTGGTAAAGTAGAAGGAACTGTGCCCACACCGACTGCTGCTGAGTGTCCCCATTCAGTCACAGCTGCCTTCTTGCCCTGTATTGGCGCTGGACCCCAGTATTCCTTTTTCCTTAATAGCAGAATGTCGGTGTGATGTACATTCTTTCATCAAATGCCTGCAGCCTGCAGCCTCCAGCCCACCCTCGCCCTCTGCAGGTGACTGTGGCCAGGAGCTCAGCTCTGGTCAGCAGGCTGCAAGCCCTGTCTTGTAGCTCCTGAGCTGTGCTTAGGAGACAACAGCAGTTTTTCCCTTTGACTTTTCTTCTTTTTTAAAATTATATTTATTTATTTGTGTGTACCTGGGTACACACATATGCTTTCATATACACATGGACTTACACAAACACCTCTGCACATACACATGCACTTGTATACACACATGTTCTACACACAGATGCACACATACACACATAGGTACTTGCAAACACACATGTACCTGCACACGCCAACACCCATACACACATGCAGATACACACACATGCACCAACAAGCACATAGGTACTGGAACACACATGTACCACAAATACATGTTCCCCCTTGGATCTGAACACACATGTGGATACGCATGTGCCCATATGCACATGCACCCCACGTGTGTGCAAACACACATATACATACCTGCATATACAAATGCTTCTGCATAAACGCACCTCCCACACACCAGCACACACATGCACCTACAAATGCACACAAACAAACACCCATATCTACCCTGTCTCAAAAATAAAAGGGTAGATGGTGCCTGAGGAAATGATACTTGAGATCCTCTTGCCTTCGTACATCCATGTCCACACGTGCATGTACATCCTTCAGACACACCACAATATGTAAATGGATAAAAAGAAATGATGACCTAACGGGCTGGAGAAGAGCAGGGAGGCGGGGACTTTCCTGGGCTCTTGTCACTTGGATTTCAAAGTTCTAGAAATAGTTTACATGAGTATGACACAGTGAGACCAGACTGAAGAGCAGCAGAGCAGACATGGTGGCAGTTAGGACTGTACCTCCTGGCAGGCTTAACCACCAGGGGGACTTTATTTCAAGCAACTTACAGCACAGTAATCTGAGGGCACTCTTGGTTGCATGTGAGGGAGGTCATAGGAGAGCTTCTGGCCTCTGGGGTGACTCCTTGGTGGGGGCTTGGAGAGCCCTAATGGCATGGGAGGTCAGACCATGTTCAGACTTCCTGTGGAGACGTTCACACCCATGCCGACGCAGGGAGCTGATTGTGGACAGCTATTTCAATAGCAGGTCCAGGATCTGTGACCCACACAACTTGCTCTGTCCCAAGTGGCAGATCTCCAAGGTCAATTCCAAAGGTGCTGACTCCTCAGACCAACAGGCCCTGTACAGAAGATTCCATGCTTCTAACAGGCTGGCCTCAGCCAAATCACCCTGGCTGGTCTTCGGTGCCTAATGTCTGCAACAACTTCTCTAATCAGGGAAATGGGCCCGTGAACCAGGATGACATGGAGCAAACATGGGAAGGAGAAAAGGAAGGAGGGGGGAAGGAAATGTGGAGAAGGGGTGATGGATGGGTGAATGAGGTGAATGGTGAATGGAGTGATGGATGGGTAGGTAGTTGGGTGGTGGATGTAAAATGGGCAGCTGTATGGATGGATGTGTGAATGTGTATATAGGTAGGTAGACGGACGCTTGGATGGATGGATGAGTGAATGCATGGGTATATGGATGGTTGCTGGGTTGATAGGTGGGTGAGTAGATGTGTGGATGAATAGATAGACCATGGGTGGGTATACGGAAGGGAGGCAAGGGAGTGAGGAGGTGATTTGTTAGTAAGTAAAATCTGGGGAAGAAATGGCAGGTCATGCAGACACTGCATTAGCCTGCAAAGTAATGTGTTCTCGTGGGCAGTGGGAGTAATGGCAATGCTCAGCTGCCATTTCCACCATGTGCCGTTCATCTAGTGGTCACAGCAGCCCTCAGACATAGGGGCTGATACTGCTCCTGGCTGCAGAAAAGAAAAGTCAATAGAGTTACATGGCTGACATGGGGGACCCACACCAAGAGGTTCCTGGCACTGTGCTGAGGCTCACAAGGGTGCACAAACATACTTTGGGTCTGGGATGACCTGAAACCCTAATCCAGCCACAGGTACAGGGATGTTGACCAGGTGTCTACAGACACTCAGAGGCTAACAAGCCAAGCCAAGGGGAGGAGGCCCCCTAGTCACAAATCCCCAGGATCAGACACAGGCCTAAATACTTCTGTGACTCAGATACCAGCCCAGCCACTGCAGGTGAAAGGACCCTGAGGCCCTCTACCTAGCTGGGGGTCACAGGCCCAAGGTTGACCCCGCTGCTCGGCACAGCATACACCTGATCACCGTCCTGAGGATGAACCGGAACACCGGTAGACCCGTTCAATCCTTGAGGCTGTTTCCAAAGCTTGGGGATCTCAACAGGGCTTCCAGGGAGGGCACATGAGGAGAGGGAGGCTGATGGAGGCCCAGCTCAGGCAGACAGCATACTTCAGGCTCTGTTTCCCCATCCATGCAACCCCCGGTCCTGTAGAGGCATCAGAGGTGGAGACATAGGGTACCATGGTGGGCACAGAAAGCTTTTACCCTCCACATATAGTTTGGACACACTATGATGGGCAGGGGCAAGAAAGGCAGGAGAGGGCATCTAGAGTGTGCTAGAGGAGAGTGGGCCTCTTCCCCATTCTGCCAGACAAGGCTATGTTTGGTTCTGGACCAGGTTCTGGCCACTATCAGACCCCGGGTACCTTGTATAAAGCAAAGGCTATGGCTGTGGTTAGGAGTGAAGCAGGGTTGGGGAAAGCACAGGCTCTAGTCAAGCTCTGCTTGAAGAGGTTGGCAGTCCAGCCTGAGCACCACCATCATCTGCCAGGGCCTCTAGGATGCATATAATGTTTAAGAATCCTTCCAGGTGAGGCTAGGTTCATGGGAGCTGTTGTGCTGCAAAACCAAGATAAGGTTCTTGCTGTGGCAGGCCATGGCCTTGACACGCCACTGCCAAGGTTAGAGTGAAAAATCCTCGCTATTGCTTTGTCACCTGGAGGTCAAGAAGGCCTCTTACCTCTCAGACAGTGTGTTTTCATGCATGTGCGCACTTGTGCCTTTTCATATCTGTGCAACTTTTGCATGTGCATGCATTCTCAAGTGTGACTGTGTGGGTACTCCACACAGGGTAAGGGAGCAGGTTGTACTTCCTGGAGGTGCCAGGTAGCAGGTTCCTCATCATGTGGTCAAGGCCACTTGTTTGCCTCTCTCCCTAGGGGCCTAATGCCTGTGTTCTTTACCTTCGTTGTTTGGAGTCAGTGAAGTCTCCTCACCTCAGCCAGTACCTGCCTGGCTCTCTTTCTCCATGAACCCTGAAGTACACCTGTTTCTAGCTGTTTCTGCCAACTTCCTCTACTTGCTCTGTGAGCCTGCTTCAGCCCTCCGACAGCAGACAGCATGGTACAACTTTCCCTGATGGCAGGGCTGTCACTACAGAGGGGTTGATGCCCTTTTCATTCTACTAGGTGGTCCCCTCTTCTGATCCCACACATCTGCTTTTCTGGTCTGAAATATGTAATAGCATCTTGCTCTGGGATGTTTCTCATTCCTTCTCAGCAGTGGTCTCTGATACCTAAACACTGAGGTCTTGACCTTGGCCTGACCCTGGGTTGAAGACTGAGGAAGATTCAACTGGGATGCTAAAGTCTCTTGCTAGAGAGCTGATTTCCTGGGGTCCCAGTGACTTCCCTGCTTACTTGGAGTTTGTTTGTGAGGGTCTGGGGGAAGGCATAGCTAAAATTTCCCCCTCCCACAGATTTTTGCTCAGAAAGCCAGAGATCTGAACAGCCAGGGGCTTTGGACAGCCCCTCTGTGAGGCGGAGGGTCAGGTTTCAGCGCTTGCTGGGACCCTGCAAAAGGCATGTGTACGGAAGGGGGCGCCCAAACGCCTGCCAGCCTTCTGGTCTGGGCAGCGCAGC